CTTTCAATCTTCCATTGCTCTGAGATCAAGGACACAGCGCGGGCAGATTTGGTGTGCATCGAATCGGCCAGTGACCAACAAACAGCTTGGACCAGCGTCAGAATTGACCCCTGCAGAGTTAGCCCCGTGGTTAAAACGTTGTCCTAAGAACCTGAGGACCGGGCCACTAAACGTGGTTACATCACCGGGTGTAGGCGGTGGCAAAAAGTGTTATATTATTTGCTGCAGTGACCAGGATTTGGCCCTGGGTTGCTGATGTTATATTAATTGTTGTCTTGATCAAAGTGCCCAGCTCAACCTACCCCGGAAGAAGAGAATAAAAAAGAAAGAAGTAGAAAAATGGACAATTCTTTTCAGGAGTAAGAACCAACGGACTTTAGTCAATTGACTGTAAGGTTCTGAAACTACATGAGCGTATTTTCCTGTTTTATCAAGTCGAAGCCACCACAAGATAAGTGGCAGGTATGATACTTTTCGAATTCTTGTATATTTTGTCTCGTATTGATTTTTTTGCACCTCACTAATAATTTTTTGGGGGGGTGAGTGGCGGAGGGTTGTAACTCGATTTTATAGGATTGTCTCTTTTTCCCTTGTTGGTTGATTAGATAAATTGGGATGAGAAAGTACGGTTCTGATCTTGGATCTGACCGGTCTATGAATGTGGACGAGGTGAACAAACTTCAAATGTCAAGTAACTTCAGAGACCTGCTTAGAGGTGGTGTCCAGATTACCACTGTATAGAGAAAACGCGGGCAAGTAAAAAAAAATGCTGGTTTACGGCGATTGAGAAAAAAACGGCGCATCTGCAAACTGTCTGAGGTGGAGACGGCTATTTTAATGTATAATGCAGCCGAGGGTCCGGTTTTCGATTTGGGGGAGCACCTAGCAAGGGACCCTGATTTAACGTGGGTGGACCTAGAGAAACTGCTAATAGACGAATACGCAGATGAGGGAAGGCGATAGAAGGCACGAGGAGCCTCACGAGACTCACCCAGGCAAGGGATGAGACTCCAGAAGAATTGGGGGCAAGAGCGACAAATTGTCAGCCTTGGCCTTCCATGAAGAAGTAAGAGAAAATGCTGCCATTCAGGCCCATTTGGTGGATTGATTTGTTGACGCGCTGGAGAACGAGCGCATCGGACATGATGTAATTAGAGAAGCTCCAACCAGGTTGTCGTGGCCATAGGTCTGGCCAAAGACAGTGAGAAAGTGTGGAAGAAGATGAGAAGAGGTGGAGTTTAGGCTAGGAATCAGGAAGGTGTCGGCCAGAGTAAAGAGTAGAAAGCCCCTGTCGTAGAGAAGTTGAAGGCGCGCCCGGAGAATTGGGAGACCGACCCCAATAGAAGAGAGTGGTTCCTGAAGTATGAGTTCTTTGCACCAAACCCGGACGATATGGGTTGGTTTGTTGGACTTGCAATATGAAAGTCATAGAGCGATCGATTTTTGAACAAGGTGATGGTTGCCTCCGGAAAGCGCGGGGTCAAATTGTAGTAAGTGCAGCCGGTTTTGCCATGAAACAAAGTGGTGTAGGGTCCCTAATGAAACCCCTAAGACCTCCCTTCAATAGAATATCCTCAGAAACAGAACCAGGGAAACGCCCAGGGTCCACCCCAGCACAAGAACTAAGAGGTAAGGTGGCCCGTATGACAACAAGTAAAAGTAGGTGATGCGATGTTGGACATGTGGACAGGTTAGTCACTTTTCTGCCGGCTGTCCCCGGAGAAGTAGATGGTCTTGTCGTGAACCAGGCCATCTGAAAAGGAATTACCCCCTTAGAAGTAGAGAAAACAAACACCTGCAAAGTAATAATGGACAGTCAAGAACTCCATTCTATGTAGAAGTTTTTTGTTGCCTGCACTCATATCAAGAAGCGGATGGATGACAGAGGAAGAATGTTGGAGAAAGTCAAATGGACACTACCCCAAGAAAAAGAGAGATTGAGTATTTTCTTTGTTAACCAAGGAGGGGGAGTTAACATGTGAAGCAGTAATAAAAGGGAAGCGATGAGGGCACTGATAGACAGGGAGTCATCTGTGTACTTGATTAGGGAAGATCAGTATAAGAGGTTGAGATTACGAGCCTGGTTGAGAAACCCTGACATTATAATTAGCCAGGCGAACGGAAAAGAAATGACAACTGGAATCGCGTGGCTCTCGAGAATGATAAGAGTTAACAAATGTTGTCCACAAGATATGTATATGGCCCCTCTGTAGAGACACGATATTGGATGGGGATTGGCTGGGCCAATATGGGGCCCAGCTGAAATTCAACCCTGCAATATTGCTGCTTGATGAACTAGTGTCAATGATGGTTGACACTGACATAAAATTGCTTCCTAGAACGGCGGTGTCTGGTAGATGCAGGTTTTCGACGAATAGGAAATTGGAAGGTAGACTTTTTCAGATAGCCTTTGCTGGGAAATACAAACCTGAAGAAGTCGAAGTAACCTTTGTTGAAGCAGTAGTGGAGTGGGGCAGAGATTGTGTCTATAATGTTGATCATTCAAGCTAACAAGACTGTGAGAATATCAAAGAGAGAAGAGGTTGTAAAGGCCCTACCGGTAAGGGCTATTGAGCATGTAAGGTATGATCAGTACAGAAAGTGGTGGCAGAATCGATTGGGGGAACTGAAAGAGGAAGAGATAATAGCCACTAAGAATTTTAAGGCTCGACTAGGGCACCTGCTAAGAGACAACAGAGATGTGGTGGCTAACTCGGTTATAGAGTTGGGGCAAGATGAAAATCGATAGCGGTGATCATGCATCGATTAAATTAAAACCATACAGAACTTCCCTACATGAAAGATCACTGGTAGAAGAGGCTGTCAGGAAAAATGTTAGAGCTAAGGATAGTTGAGAGGTTTGAAAGATAATAATGAAAACTGGGATTTGTATTTAACACAGGCCTGTAAGGCAATGGGATTCTTTATACATGAAACCTTTAGGTGCTTGCCATATGCTTTTCGGACGTGAGTGGTTTTGCCGGTAGATAACCTCGTATGAAATACATGGGGGTAGACCGCCATATGCTAATAATAGAACAGAAACAAGATATTCACTCAAGCCAGGAGGAGGATTTAGACGGGTACAAAAGAAAAACGACAGGGTGGATAAAGGAAGAAACGAGGTAGAGTTAAGAGTTGGAGATCCTGTATTCTACAAAATCCACTTGAGGGAAGGAAAACTGGATCCGAAATAGTAACCCTATTACAGAATAGTAAAGCAGACGGGGCCAGTGTTGTTTGCAATCTGAAGGCGGGGAAAGTTAAGATGGCTCATGCAAACGAATTTAAAATTAACTGAGGTGCATGGTTGGGAAGGAGCTGAATCGGAAGAGAAGGATGAGAACAACTCTGGTGGAACCAGAGGAGATGGAAACAGATGAGGAATCTTAAGAAGACAGAAGGAGGTTGATGAATCAACCGCTAGTTGATAAAAACGAGAAAAACAAGGAGGCCGTCCATTGATGTGCATGATGCAGAGGATGCAGAAGATGAAGTCAATCACAAACCTCCAGAGAAGGAAGAGAAGCTATTAGAAGAGGAGGGGGAAATACCTCCGTCCCAACTCCAGAAACAGTTAAGAGAGAAGAGTCAGAGGTTGAGCCAGAATTACTTGTCAAGCAAAGATTGAGTGTGGGGTGACGAACACCCTAAATCCCAATAAGGGTAAATGCAAGTAAGGAGGATGGGATGGGATGGGATTCGGTGTCGGCATGTCGTCATGGGGAAGTGCACACCTGGGTGCGTGACGGCGTTTGGTTCAGTAGAATAACCGATCCAGTAAGGATTGTTGTCAATATTCTTGCCAAGATGGGTTGTCAGTTTTCACGTTTGGCTGGGTTGTTAGTCTTCACGCCTGGATGGATTGTCAGTATTCTTGCTTGGATGGGTTGTTAGTTTTCACGTTTGGATAGATTGCACGTATTCATGTCTAAATATTTTCGTCAGTATTTTTGCCTGCGTGGTTTGTCTATCTTCGCGCCTGGATGGGTTGTCAGTATTCTTTTCTGAATGGGTCGTCAGTATTCACGTTTGGATAGGTTGTTATTATTCATGTCTGAATGGGTTGTCAGTATTTTTGCCTGCGTGGTTTGTCTATCTTCACGCCTGGACGAGTTGTCAGTATTCTTGCTTGGATGGCTTGTCCGTCTTTCGAGATGGATGTGTCTACATGGTCGAAACCAAGACGTTTACACAGTTCACGATGTATGGTTGTTTCTACTCTGTCATGTCTGTTTTATATTCCCTTTGTGCCAACTTGCTGCATCCAAGTATCACACGTCAACTTTTCTCTGCAAGAGAAGCATTTAGTGTTTCTCTAGGTTTGGTCTATTTTTGAATGATTTGATTTAACCTGGTGATTTTATTCAGGACGAAACAAAAGTTCCATTTCTCTTAATTCATAATTGTTCGTCTGCTATCGCTTTTATCTGCCTTTTAAATTCTCTTAGGAGAGTTTGCTAGAAGCAATCGTATATTTCGTGCATTTGTGCGCTCACACTATATGTATGGTGGTTTTCGCTGGAATTGAATGAAGGCAAATATCTTCAAATATCTAGCACTTTTCCCAGTATCTTTACAGACCTTAACAGTAATATGTTCTGGAAATGTTGAATTCTTCCTGGAATTTCTATTTCATCCAATTTCTATTCTAGTGATTTAGGGACGATTCCAAGTGCACCAACTATTACCGACAAGACCCTAATTTTCAGTTATAATAATTGTACTTGTTGCTGTTTTTGATGGATTTGGCAGTGTTGGTCCTGGTTCCATGAGGTGTATTATTAGCATTATAATAGGGTTAATGATGTTGATAATAATGTTTTATATTTTGGTTTTTATTTTTATTCTGATATTGGATTTCTTTTCGTGTATCAGGTTTTGGGCTTTATTGCTTTAGAGAAATATCAGAATATCGAAATATTATTGCGGAGCAGTTGGAGAGTTCCATGAACTTGGCACAGAGTCAGATTTAGTGAAATGTCTGATGGGGAAATATATTAGACGTTTATCTTCGAGCGGCAAGTGGAGTCTTTGACATGAAAAAATAATTCTACGAAAGTGAAAAGACGCAAAAAACGGCTGAAAAAATAAATGGCTAGCGGGAAGAGTAAAAAAAAAAGATGAAAGGTGTCAAAGGATAAAGAATTTATTAAGAAAAGCCATGAACCATTCATAAGAGTGGGCAGTGACGGGTATCCAAACAGAGAAGAAATGAATGAGACGGTATGAGAAGAGGGGTGGAAAGGAGAAGAGAGAGAGAGAGAGAGAGAAATGGAAGAGTAAAAGTCATCTAAAGATAAGGAAACTAGTGAGATAAGGAAGAGAAAGAAGAAGAAAAGAAGACTAATAAAAACAAATGGAGGGTGAGTAATAGAAAGTGGAAGGAAGATAGATAGATAGAAAGAAAGAAAGAAAGAAAGAAAGAAAGAAAGAAAGAAAGAAAGAAAGAAAGAAAGGGAGATGAGTGAGACAAGCATATATAGGGGAGATAGGTGCAGAGCGATAAACATAGATAGATAGATAGATAGATAGATAGATAGATAGATAGATAGATAGATAGATATGGATAAGGAGGCAGATGAGAGAGACCGAGATAGAGAAACAAAAGGAATGGGAGAGGCTGAGATGCATAGATAGATAAAGAAACACAGAGATGAGGCAGGCTGAGATAGATAGAGAGTAAGAGATAGATAGATAGATAGATAGATAGATAGATAGATAGATAGATAGATAACACTGAAATTTATAAGAACAGACTGGGATATATATGTGTACACGAATGCATTCGCCGCGAAAGTATTAATGAATTGCGTTTCGAGACTGATTTGCCTTCGAAGATCAGCATCGGAAAAACCGCTCTTCGACCCAAAGTATCACAACTTTTAACGTTGTTCGGCGAAGCTACAAATCCTACCACCAAAAGCAGCATTCTGACAGAGAGAGAGGGGGAAGAGAGTGAGAGAGAGAGAGAGATGAAGAGATGAGGGAGAGAAAGTGTTTGAACGAGATGCTATTTTTTAAAGCAATAAATAAATGGAGAAATATGTATAGAGAGAAAGAGACAAACTGAGAGTCACGCATTCCGATAGAAATATTGCCTTGACCTGCACTCATAATATGTTCAGTTTCAATATATCATTCATAAATCTATAATTCAATTCAACTGAACTTTTATTGATGCATCATCGTCATCATCATCATCATCATCAGCAGCAGCAGCAAATATTGAACAAAAATGTTTGGAGAGCGGATATAATAGTTCCCAAAGTAGTTCCCAAAAGGTGCCACACGCCTCATAGGTCCGGCAGAAGAGGATAGCAGGTGAGGCGGAATGATTGAAAGATAACCAAAGAATTCATATGTCAAAAATAAATATCATTTCAAAATTTAAAATATTATTATTGATTACTTGTAATTACATGCATGATTCCCAGTATAAATAGTTAGAAATAATTATTGTCCGAATTTATCATTGTGATATTTTTGCATTATATCAAGTACTAGCAGCATGGCCCGGCGTTGCCCGTGCTTGATTCAAAATTTGTACGACTCGTACAGCAATCGCTATCACTTGACTTAAAATATGTTTGCCCTTCCTTGCCTTTAAAGATGTGCCCTTTGCCGTGCTGATGTTGCTACATGCCTTACTTCTTGCCTATCTCACACTGCGAATTTTTTCTATGCTCTATACTAAACATTAAATCTGTTACGAAAAAAGAACTAAACAAAATGAACACAAAACGATCAGCTTTAAAAAAGGACTCGTAACTGGAAAAACCGAATGAAAAAAGATTTTTAACAACAAATACTTTTTCACATCCAACCCAGTTCTGCGGAATCAGAATCAACGTTGAGTTTAAGCAAGCGAATGAGCCAATTGGAGTAAAGTGCCATGCAAATTTAAATTTTCCCAGTTGTAACGAATGCAGCTATCGATTTTTTTTTTTTTTTTGCATGCTAGCATAGTTAACATTCGTGTCAGTCAGCTGTTGGCTCTCACGCTGGCCAATAGAATCTTCCTGCCTATTCGTGGCAGCCAGCTATAGGCTCTCACTCTTGCCAGTAGAAAATGGCCGCAAACTACATGAAAACTGCCGTAGAAGCATGAAAAAATCGATTATTTCCACTATCGATGAAAGTTGGGAAATGGAAAGTCGGCCTTAGCCTTGCCGCTAACTTGGGGCATGTGCATATAAATACTGGTGCAAATCCGTCGAAAATTGCGGCCGTGCATTCGTTACACACACACACACACACACACACACACATATTGCCTTTTATAGATAGAGATTAAGAACTTAAATATATCGCAATAAATTGGAGGAGAATGTAAGTCAATCATGATACTTTCTGGATATAATCTTTAAATTTAAATTCTTTTCACATAAAATTTGGTGAAGCGTGAGCAAATTTTTCATCCCGAAAATGCAGCCCAGAGAAATAAGTTTGTTAACCCCTGTAAGCAGTCACGATTATCTCCCTTTTCGGAAAAAGACGATTGACGGAGAAATGGAAAGAAAAAAAAAACAGTAATTCACTAAATCGATTTTCGAACAGTTTGCAATAAATTTCAGAAATAAAGAAAATAATACGGAAATATCTGTGTTTATTAAAAAGTGAAATTAATGTCAACCCGTCCAGAAATCGAAAGTCTTAATAAAGAAACTGTGTTAATTTCACTGTTAAATTGGTAAAATATAAATTGATTAATAATATATAAGAAATAAAATATTTAGAGAACCAACCTTCTTGCTACCGCAGTTTCGACCAATTAGGTATCGTCAGGCAGCAATTTTGTACAAACCACAGTAACAGGAAGGTTGCTTTTCTAAATATTTTAACTTAAATTGTTCTACATTTTCTACTTTTGAAAACTGTCATGAGGCCTTTTTCATTAATTTAACTTTTTTGTTTTTTGTTTTATTTTGTTGTTTTTTTTTTTTTTGTTTGTTTTTTACAAATACTGATTTGTCAAATTTTGATTTTTGGACAAAAAACAACTGCCAGATTCATGATTAGCCATTGAAAGAATGCCTTCTGTGACCTTAGAGAAACTTTTTATTTTATATATATATATATATATATATATATATATATATATATATGGCATTATAAGAAGTGACATTTTAACGTAGCTTTTTAAATTTTCTATAAATAATTCATGGTAATTATTCTGATGAAAATGTTATGGTATCGATTATAAGAAAAAAGAAGGTCTCATTTTTTACATTTGAAATGGTTAGATGCAATCTTTCATAAGTTCTATGGAAAGTTTCTTCAGTGCCATTTTTAGCTTGTCGAAAAAGATTCCAGTTTCTTGTTGACCCAGGCAACTTTCGCCTTCCAAAATTTAAATGCAATATCAATCGTTATTCTTATCCTTAATTTTAAAATTTTTATTGTTTTCAATTTAAATTTTAAGTTTTTATATATTAATTGGACATTCCAGTAAACTCTCGCGTTATAGTGGCTTTATTGCTTTACTTAGGGTGAATTGATTAAAAATATAATTAAATTGAAGATCTGTCTACTTTTCTTCTATTAAATTTCTCCAACTTCCGATTCAATTGTTGTTTTATTAGTAAAATTTCAATGTTATCAATGGGTAAATTTATAATATATATATATATATATATATATATACATATATCGAATATATATATAATATATATATATATATATTATATGTATATGTTTTATATATATATCATATAGAGAATCAATGGCCATTATTTGTAAAAAGAAATTTTAATTTTTTTCGCTTTTTTTATAGATAAACTTTGTATTATCTAAATAATTCTATCTATAAAAAGAACGTTAAACAAAAAATATCTTTAATAAATAAATTAATTTGGATTTTTTCCATTTTCTTAATGAATTTGAATATTATCTACATATCCTTATCATTATTTTAAATATCTTAAAATATATATATATATATATATATATAAATTTATACATATATCAAAAATAGACCATATATTGAATGGAATATCATTTAAATATTATCTGATATTATGAATATATATATATATATATATATATATATATAGAAATATATTTAAATATATACATATATATATATATATATATGTATATATATTTGATAAATATATATTTAAATATATATATATGGAATATATATATATAAATTTTATACATATATTTAACTAATAAATTTGCACATATATATATATATATATATATATATATATATATATATATATATATTATATATATTTAAAAATATATCTATATGGCATATATAGATATTATATATATATTAAAAAATATATATTTGTTATAATTATGAAAATTAATTTATTATAATATGTAAATGCTTAATTATATAATATATATTTAAATATATAATTATATATATAGAATATATATAAAATATATATATATAATTATCAGGTATAAATTTTATATCATATATATATTTATTTAAAATATATATATTAAAATATATATACTATGTATATATTGAGTATATACATATTTTAAAAAACAAATTCATTATAAATATATTTATGCATAAATTTATTTATATATATATATATATATATACGTATATAATTATTTAAATATATATAAAAAATATTTAAATTATTTAAATATATGTATACAAAATTTATATTATATACATATATTCATTATATATTTATTACGAACAATAAAATTTTTATATATATTATCTCAAAATAAATTTAAATATATATTTTTTTGTTAATTATTTAAATATCAATTTGTAAAAATATATTCCAATGGTCGATTAAATTTTTTTTAATTCTAATTTGAATTAAAAAATTATATAAATATTTATAGAAAATTTAAATATATAAAATTTGTTGCCTATTATTTAAATATATATTATATAATATATATATATATAACTAAATATAAATTTAAATAAATATTTTTATAAACAAAATACTTGAAAATATATATTTTATTACATAAAATCTCTTTATATATATATTTATATTTATAAATATAAATATATATGATTTTAATGTTTTTGACATGTTACATTTATAATATATATATATATATATATATATATATATATATATATATATATATATATTGATGCATGTTTCATTAAATAATATAGACAAGTTTTGTCTATTTATTTTAAGCAAATTCCTTTCATATTGTCTCATAAGATTTAATAACATTATCATTGAAAGATGAAAGAAAATCATCATATTGTTACATGTTTTTAATCCTATCTAAGTTTTTTGGCTTACATAAGCTATCATCAAAGATGACAATTAAATTTCAATAAATTAAACAATACACAGACATAACAATAATGATAGTCTGTTTTGTTTGCATTATGGATGATTTCAAAGCAACGACAAACTTGTGCATACAAGATGCTGGAAAAAAATTGCACTGCAGCCCATGACATCACACATGACCACACGAGAATAAAAACGAGAAGTATTAAGTTTGGGAAGCCGTTGGTATAAACCAATAGCTTCTGTTATCAATTATAGGCATTTAAGGATATTTGTGGAGTTTTCATAGTTTATTTTGTTCAGGATAGGTTTCAACTGTTTTATGTATATAGCGTCAAAAATTTTTAGTTTTGTTTATTGTTTTCATGTTTAAGTATTGTTGTGTTTTCAACAAGAATTTTCCTGAATTGTTGTATGTGGCCAGGTTGTTTTAAATGCCTAAAAAATATATATATATGATAAAAATATAGTTATAAGATGTGTTATTAGAGATAGAACATATGCAAATATAAAAACTGGATATTAAAGTCAAGACATAAAGGCAACAGTCTGTTTTATTGCTTAAATACAATCATCATGGTTTAACAACTGCATATAACATGAAACAGACTGTTGCCACTGTCTTTGCCCTCAATGTCCACTTTTATATATATCAAACAAGCTTGATTATATAGAATCAACATTTTTTTCTATATTTTACAACATTCAGATAAGATGTTGAGTATTATATGTTTGAAGTTTGGTAAAACTATCTTAAGTTCATATTTTCTTATTTTTGTTCAAGTACTTTTATCTTTCCAGTCATTATCAAGAATCAATGTGGTGTGTGTGTGGTAGTTTAGATACTTTGGTTAAATTGGTAATTAG